GGCTCGGAAGGTGCAGGGCCTGGAGATGCCCTTGGAACCCCAGGACATCCAATGTGCCCTTGGAACCCCCTGCCCAGTCCCCAGGACATCCAATGTGCCCTTAGAACCCCCTGCCCAGTCCCCAGGACATCCAAAGTGCCTTTAGAACCCCCTGCCCAGTCCCCAGGACATCCAATGTTCCCTCGGCTCAGCTCTGAGTGACTCCCTGAGCTGGTGCAGCCCCTGCTTTGCCAGCCCTGGATTTGTGATTCTACTCCAACATCCCTGAGCAGAGATAATATTATTGCTCATCCTTGGCTGCCTCTAACAGCCAGACTCTCTGATTGCCTCAGAGATTAATAGAACTGTATTATTTACATCAGATGTCGCACAGAATAATATTATTAAAGCTTTGTCTTACCCATTTACCAATTCCACTGTAGATTAGTAGCATGGATTTTTTCCCCCCCTCCCCATAAAAAGCTTTGTTCCCAGCAATCAACATAATATTTTCCAGTGATTGTATGGAAATGAATGCAGCCACAGAGCAGATTTGTACAGATGAATAGGAGGTCCTGTTAGTCATTTTGTAGCTAAGTCTGTTTCTGCCCATGATGAATTTAGAGCAGTTTATTTTATTTGTCTTGATTTGAGCAGCTGCCAAAGCGTTATCTTATTTTATGACAGAGGACAGGAAATAGGATTATTCTATTGCAGTTGCACCTGGAGGGCTCCTCAACATCCCTCAAATGTCACTCTCCCAGGAGTTATTTGTCCCTGGGGACCTCCCTGGCCAAGGTGACACAGAGAGGAACCACAATCCTGGTGTTAATTGGCAGCACAGACACGACCAGAGCCAGAGCAGAACCTCTGGGGAGGAGGTGAGGTGAGAGCGACTGGCACACGAGGGAATGTGAGCCAGGAGGTTCTGATGCAGAAAGGGCATCTTTCCAGCAAGAAACATCAAGTGTCAGGACATGGAAAACACTCAGGAACAAACCCAGCAAAACCTGCAACTCTCCCACTTTCTGCAGGTTTCAATCGATCCTTCAGACCCACTTATTTGTCAGAAAGAAACCTGGAGGGCACCAGCCCAACCCCTGCCCAGCTGAGCTCCCTTCTGAGCTCCAAACTCTCTGCTTTTGTTGTTTTTCTCCTGCCTTTCAGTTCAAGCCCCTTTATCCCATCCTTTGCAACCTGCAGGTGCTCCAACCACTCCCCTCTCGCCCTCTGTTCTGCTGGAAGGTGTCCCTGCTCACTGGGGTTGGAATAGAGGACCTTTGAGGGCCCTTCCCACCCAAACCCTCCTGTGACTCTGTGATTCTGCCCTGGCAGCACCACCCGAGATCTCCCCACGCAGCTTTTATGCCTTTCCCTGGAGGAGCCCCATCCAACAGGTGACTCACAGGTTTCAGTGTGTTGAAAATGAACCCAACAAACTGGAAAAGGAAAGCACAGGCTCGAGAAGTTCCCATCATCCAACCCCCTGAGCTGCCACAGAGCTCCCAGAGCCACTGCTCTGCACCAGGAGCTTCGTCCCGTTCACCGACTTTCAGTTTTCCCCTCATTTCTTTCTGCTCCCAACCTTCCTCCTCCCCTTGCCTCCTCTGCAAGCCTTCCAAACCAGGAGCTTCCAAAAACCCCCAGTGCTCGTCAAGCCCCGTTCCAGTTCATTCGGAATTAATTAGCAGCTCTGGAGTCATTAGATGTGACTCGACACTTCCCTGGCCACGCTCCCACCGCCACGGCGAGCTCAGCCTGGTCCCATCAGCCTCTCCCAAGCCCCCAGAGCCTCCTGGATTGTCAGGAGGAAAAGAAAAGGGAGAGAAAAAGAGCAGAGATGCTTCTCTTCCTGCAGCTGCTTCACCCGCTGCAGGTATTTGAGACCAAACTCGAACCCAGCCCCGGCCCCGTTTCCCATTCAAATTAATCCTCAGCTCCATTTTCTCTGTTTGTATTGTCGGAATATAAAATAAC